TCTTGTAGTTGCAGGGCTTCTTCCTCTGTATATGCTCCCGAAATTAAGTCATCTACATAGAAATCCTGCAAAGTTACTCTCGATGCCTTGGGAAACCTGATCATTTCGTCTTTGGCTAATTGTTGAATCACTCTGACTGCTAGATAGGGCGCTGCCGCTGTGCCAAATGTGACTCGGGATAAGTTATACTCTTGCACCGGCTCGTTGGGATTGAAACGCCATAAAATTCTATGATACTGTGTGTCTGCTGGATGTAATATAATTTGGCGATACATTTTCTCGATGTCAGCAGTTATGGCTACCGGATAAGTCCTCCATCTTAGAATAATGTCCATTAACTCTTCTTGTAAACGGGGGCCCACATGCATCGCATTATTTAAACTTGTCCCAGTGGTTGTCTTACAGGACGCGTCGAAGACAACTCGTACTTTACTTGTGGTACTTGTTTTTTTGATGACGGCTTGATGTGGGAGATAATATTTTCCTTTTCCCCCATCTATGGATGAAACTTTCGTCATGTGTCATGTGTCCCATGGCCAAGAAATCCATTTGCTGTTTTGTGCACTCCGTCCAGCAGTATTTTCGCCACTTCTTCAGCTCCTAGGAGAATGTCTATGGGTCCCATCTTGTTGAACGTTGGGTCAGCCAATACTTTGTTCTGCCATTGTTCCATGTCTATATCAAAACTTTTTTCAGGCAGTGCCCTTGTTAGTTTGGATAGCACGAGGAGATTTGTTGTCAGCTTAAATGTACTCGGGAATCTTGGGCTACAACTAAGTGTCACTTGTTGGCTTGACGTTTTTATGTCCCCATCTCCAACACCTGATAGGTCTGTGGATACCTTTTGCCTTGGAAGGGCTAATAGGGTTGCTGCTTCTTCCGTGATCAAGGATGCTTGAGAGCCTTGATCGATGAGTACTCTTGTATACTCCACACCTCCACTTACTGTTGTGGCTTTAATGAGTGCGGTTGCTAGTAGTATTATTGGACTCTGATTCCCCACGTGGTTGCTTGCCTTGTTTTTTTGGTTGTCTACCTTTGATTGGATTTTCTGTTCCGTCTTTTCAAAGTGCAAGAGCGTATGATGACGTCTCGAGCACACTGCACATCTTCTTTCTGATGTGCATTTTGCAGCTGCATCATGCCATAGGCAATTAATGCACAATTTTTTTTCTCTTATTGCCTGGCTCCGTGCTGTCACTGACAGGCCCCTGAACTTTGGGCAATAACTTATCGTATATTGGTCTTGACAAAAACTGCACACGATCTTATGCCCATGAAATGGCTGCTGCCTCTTGTTCTGTGCTGCATTTGTCGCCGTCAATCTGGGACTGCTTGGTGTTGCCTCTAAGGATTGAAAACGGTTTCGCAAAAAGTTGATTTGATCTTCTAAACATTAAATTACCAACGGATCCTCGATAGACGACTCATATAACCTGTTTGTTTCAGCATCCCATTTTTTCGAGATCAAACAGCTTATCATTGGACCCCATGAGTCTGTTTTTATTCCCATTAGCTCAATTGCAGCCATGCATTCACTCATGGTGTCGTGGAGTTCTTGTAGTTTTCTAGCTGATTCATGGTGAATTGGCGGGAACTCCATCATTTTATTAAGTAACTTTGTTAATATTAACCTCTTGTTGTTGTACCTTTTTTTAAGCTGCTCCCATGCTGCTCCGTAATTAGCATTTGTTATGGGAAAATGTTGAATGGCACGCGCTGCTTCGCCTTTAAGGTGAGTTTTTAGATGCTGCATTTTTTCTACGTCGGACAAGCGTCGGTTGTTATGGATTATTTGCGTAAATATGTCTTCGAAATTGGCACATTCCTCGTAATTACCTCCGAAAACTGGAATCTGGACCTGTGGTAGTTTGATTGATGTGCTTCTATCATTGTCGCTTTCTGTTTGTTTTAACCTATGTATTTTTTGTCGTAGGTCACAAATGCGGTCTTCGCATTCCATTTCGATTAGTGTATACGTGTTGTTCGTGAAATACGATGCCTGACGTAGTGTGTCGTCGGCTCGGATTTCAAAATGTGCTGATACTATTACTTGCCATTGATTAATTAATTTTTTAGACAGAATTTCGTACCTATCTATAGTCTGGTCATGGGCTAATGCGTCGTCAATTCTGTCCATTATTTGCTGAAGATCCTGTATGCGTTGCATCTGGTATTTTACTCGTGTATCTTCGTCTTCGTTGGATTCGTTAATACATGTTGTTGAGTCCTGAATGTACTTATAACAGTCCCGATACGATTTTTCGATTTGTTTATAATATTCTGATGTCCAATATTCATGAGATAATTCTTTGATTTTAATTATCTCGGCATGAGTTTGTTTCGCATTGGCCCAATGTTCGTTTAACGCCTCAGTGCGGGGTTTGAAGTATTCAGTTGATTTTCTTGAGGTTGAATCTTTTTTCATGTTGGTGTATAGTTGAAGGATGGCCTTGCCAGTGACCTGTTGTTTGGCCTCCAGCTCGTTCATTTTTGGGTTTGTGTTCGTCATCTTAAGTTGTGTCGATTTGATTATTTTCTAGATACGAAACTGCACCACTTCTGGATTGGACTGGTACAATTTTAGGTTCGAAGGACCATGAAAAGAATCGGATCTTAATTAGGATCCCGAATCTTTGTAATAATGTCCCACTAGCGGAGCGCAGCCTCACGCTCCAGTTAAGGCTTGGAAACTAGTGGGTAGTTGAGTAAAACACAATAGTCTTGTTAATACTGACTTTAATTATAAAATTGTTTCCTTATATACAAATGGGATATTTTTCTTTGATTTTAATTATCTCGGCATGAGTTTGTTCCGCATTGGCCCAATGTTCGTTCAACGCCTGCGGCGTTTGAAGTATTCAGTTGACTTTCTTGAGGTTGAATCTTTTTTCATGTTGGTGTATAGTTGAAGGATGGCCTTCCCAGTGACCTGTTGTTTGGTCTCCAGCTCGTTCATTTTTGGGTTTGTGTTCGTCATCTTAAGTTGTGTCGATTTGATTATTTTCTAGATACGAAACTGCACCACTTCTGGATTGGACTGGTACAATTTTAGGTTCGAAGGACCATGAAAAGAATCGGATCTTAATTAGGATCCCGAATCTTTGTAATAATGTCCCACTAGCGGAGCGCAGCCTCACGCTCCAGTTAAGGCTTGGAAACTAGTGGGTAGTTGAGTAAAACACAATAGTCTTGTTAATACTGACTTTAATTATAAAATTGTTTCCTTTTATACAAATGGGATATTTTATTTTTCATACTTATTTTACAAACATCTTAATGTTAGAAGGTTGTATTTTGTTATGTTATTGCTGACGCGGTTTGTTCGCTTAGATGACCGAAGTAGGTCAATTAAATAATTATTGTTTAATTTTAAGAGTTAAACAAAAAATAGAGCAAGTTTACATCCAATAGCATCGCAAAAACAAGAATTTTAGCAGCAGATAATTAAAAAGCACGTTAGAGATTTAAAAACACTCCCCGCCCAACATGCGCACCATCCTATCTTAAGGTGTATGTATCTTGATGTTTCATAGTAGACAGTGAAGTTAGGTTTTTCTGACATTTATAGAATTTTTTGATTGGTCAAAACGCTTTGTTTACTAAATTGTTTTTACAGCCTAGGCGGTAATCAATTACTTTAATAGTGAGTAGAGTTGGGGATGGTCAATTGACCGCGGTCAATTGACTGTCAATCGACCGCTACCTATTTGACCGGTCAATTGACCGGTCATTTAATTTTTTTTTATATTTAGGTATCAACAATTACCCGTGAATCTAAAAATTTTTGCGATCGTGCAATATCGACATCATTTACAATTTGGTGGTTCCCCGAGTCGAGGGGTTGCTAGGCCGGACGGCGCGTTGCCCTTAAAGCGGGACATATCTTTTTAATAGCGAAACATAACTTTTTAAAGCCACACAAACGTTTCGAAAGATGGACATAACTTTTATAATAAAAAAAAATTGGTAACGTATTTTAATTACCAATTTATTAAGCACAAATAAATCACAGTAATATTTATTTTGATATTTTATTTAATTTTATTTTGGTCAATTGACCGGTCAAAACAATTTGACCGGTCAATTCCACAACCCTAGTAGTGAGTGTTAATAATAAAAATAATAATAATATTTATTGATCACACAGTTTTACAGCATTTAATTCCATAAAACATATTGGACTATAGTCATAATTTCCTTATTTTGTATTTTTTTTACTATGGTCAAAAAAATTTTAAAATAAAGAAATTATGTATGTACGTACTACTAAATTTATTAAACATTAAATAAATTAGTTAAAAATTATCACTAAGGAACTGTTCCACAGAATAATATATTTGTTCTAAAAACAAAGTCTGCAATATGCATTTTAATATTTTTTAACATTTACAACAAGACACAATAGACATAACTTTATTATAACATTTAATTTCCATATAAATAAAAGATGTTTGACATAGAAAATGGCAAAACTAACTTATTTTGGCTACATGTTGAGCAACTATGTATGTTACCATGTGTTAAAATATCTTTTTTATTTTTAAAATAATAAAGTTTAAGTTATAGAACGCTAGAAGATAAAAGACTTTAAAGTGCTGTTCTAAAAAGTGGTAATTTTAGACTTATCTAGTTTTTCCCAAACATTGTTTTTTAGTATTTTTTAAGTATTTTAGGAACAACGCGTGCAAACTTTTATTAGTAGTAAAAAAAGTTTTTTTATCGATAATTACATAATAATTAAAAAATACCAATCCATATTTTCGATCGGTCATGTAACTTAATTAATTAATTCTTTTATTTATATTTTTTTCACCACAATTCGGGAATCTTATGCAATTTAATATTATATAATTATTATCTAATCGTATTTTATTAACCTTTTTTTAAATCGTTAATTGTAAATAAGATATATTGTAAAACATTTTGAAGAGATAAAAATAATGAATTAAGTGCCAACGCATTTATTTAAAATCCTTATTCGTTGCTGTCATTTAGTTTTGTGTGTACGCGATCGCGATTTTAATTACCAAAAAAAAATCTACTTTTTTAAATGTGGTCGTTCTAATTTTTTTATTTGATTTAATAATTCGTGAATATGCAAGCCGCGGTAAGTAACTTAATTTAAAAAAATAGGTGAAATTGTTGGTAGGTGTTATTTTTAAGGTGCGAATATTTTTTTAAACATTATTTAACAAAAAAGTAAAGATTATTTGGGGCCCCAAGGAAATTAATAAAAAATACGCAAATTTTTGGGTAAATGTTAAGAAATGAAATAGGTGTTAAATAAATATGATTAACTAACGCATTTTCATAGTAAAAATAGTTTTTTTTAGAATCAATAGAAAACGTTAAAATAATATTATTTTTCTGAATAAATTTATATTAATATATCAATAGTTTTAGAAATACAAGGTGTTGAAGTTGCATATATTTCTAGAAAAAATATTTTCTCCTAAACTAAAGAACATATTTTACTGAAATATACGATATTGTTTTTTATGAGGTACCATGTTTAGGCATTACATTCATTATCATACTACAAGCAGCGGCACTACGGGGGGAGATAACATCACTTTTTAGAGGAAAAAAGGTTTGCAAATAATCTAACAAAAAATCCATATTTTTGAAATAAGCAGTTGATTTACGAAATCCTTTTGAAGTTTTTTTGTAATACGATATAATATATAATATGTATCTTTTCGTAAGTAATATCATAAGGCCATTTAATTTTTCCGAAAAGAATCGAAAAAACACGTTGCTAAGTAATATTTTAACAAAAAGCATGAGTGCTGGTGGCAACAAAAATCCGAGTCGAAGAGGAGGATTTTTGCACCTGCACGAATGCATTTTGTTAAAAAATATTACTTAGCATTGTGTTTTTTCGATTTTTTTCACAGGAAAAATTAGATGCCCGAATGGTATTTGACAAGACTATTTCATGAGTAACAGTTAACAATTAAAATATAAATTGCAATTTTTGGTGACAACAGCTGTCAAGTTTTGCCGCGGGTAAACTCCTAAACCAAACCAAATAGATGAACATCTGACGGTATAATTTTGATGCAATGAAGCGCCCTCATACGGTTATGGAGGAACTAAAATGCAGCGTTGCCAAAAGCGACCGCGTATATTTAAATTTTAAAAATTTATTTTATTATTTGAGATTGTCAGCGTTACCAAATTCTGTCAAAAAAACGTAGATTTCGAAATAACCTTAACTAAATAACTAAATATTTTACACAATCAACAATAATTAAATATCATAAAATGACAATTTGCATTTTATCATTTTTATAGTTATAATACAATAAATAATATAATCAAACAAATTATACCTTTTTTTACAGAATTGGGCCACATTGGGTCTATATATAAAAATTTAATTTTAAATATACAAATTAAAATAAAAATAGTTAAGGGTATAATTAAAGTAATTTGAATTAGAAATATTTCTTTATTATGTATTACAAAAATATATATAAAATATACCTCTTAAAAAATATTAGTAATAAAAGTACATACAATAAAAGATTATAACATAAAAAAAACCTAATATTTCCCCTTAAAATTTAGCAAAAAACTTGTATTAAAAAAAAGAACAAACCTCTACATTTTTTAAAACTAAATTTAATAAAACTTAAAAATACCTGGTAATAATTTTGTTGGGTAAGCCTGACGATTAAGCCTTCTATTAGCTATAAAGTCTTTCTCAGCAAAATGCTTTGAACACACTCTGCAGTTTTTGAAGACTTTTTCGGGTGTCGTTTCAAAAAGTCGTTTATTTTGACACAACTTAACCCACTGATTAAACAAGTCCATATGCCAAGGACGTGACGTCATTAGATACAGCGACATCTGTAGGACATGGAGAAAGTTTATTTTAAAATACCCCCCCCTATTGAGATATTCGTCTATTTGGTTTGGTCTAGGGGTAAACTCGAATAAACTGCTGACAGGTGCTGTCACACAGTTTTTCACCTAGAAACCATTTGTAATTCAAAATTGCGCGTTTGTGATTGGTGGATATTAAGACGAGGGAAATAGTCGTAAGTAATATCATGAGGGCATTTAATTTTTCCGAAAAGAATCGAAAAAACATGTTGCTAAGTAATATTTTAACAAAAAGCATGAGTGCTGGTGGCAACAAAAATCCGAGTCGAAGAGGAGGATTTTTGCACCTGCACAAATGCATTTTGTTAAAAAATATTACTTAGCATTGTGTTTTTTTTTTCACAGGAAAAATTAGATGCCCGAATGGTATTTGACAAGACTATTTCATGAGTAACAGTTAACAATTAAAATATAAATTGCAATTTTTGGTGACAACAGCTGTCAAGTTTTGCCGCGGGTAAACTCGAATAAACTGCTGACAGGTGCTGTCACACAGTTTTTTCACCTAGAAACCATTTGTAATTCAAAATTGCGCGTTTGTGATTGGTGGAAATAAAGACGAGGGAAATAGTCACAGTAAAATTGCAATTCCAATACACTGTAATTAAATTTTATCACATGCCGCGGCTTGCAGTCTACTTTTTTTTTTATCGAAGTTAGTGGTGAACATTTTGAGCACCCCCTCTAATGATTTAAATTTAGGTTTCTTTTTTTTAGTTTTATTTTTAATTGTAAGTTGTAAAATTTTGTTTTTTTTAAAAAAATAAATTACTAAGAATTAATTAATTTCTTAAAATTTTATAATAATAATCAACTTTTAATTTCAGAAATGTAAAAAAAAATGATTAGATCATTGGCGTACCTTTTATTCTTTAAAAAAGACCAAACTATAGTTATACAGGGCATATGTCAAATATAATAAAATTTAATAACAGTAAATTGGAATTGCAATATAACTGTGAAAAAATACATTTTATGAAAAAAACTTTTTTTCGCAAAACGACAAAAAATGTTATTTATTATATATTTTTAAGTTAAAAACGCCAAATGTACCAACGTGATGACGCTGTTATACAGTTATAACTATCTCAGTCTGTAATAATATAGAACTACTTTATTTTGGGTCCAGAAAAGTTTGCACGTTACTTTGGTGGTAAGATTTAGCAGGGCTGTGTTTAAATTACCATACAAAATATTTCTAAAAAGTTTACAGATCAGTGTGTGGTATCAATGTGTTTCTCATGGTTTAAACATTGTCACTTTAATGCGTTTTAATTTTAATTCTGAAAACAAACATTAAAAGTACTGGTTGGTAAAAAATGTAAATTTCAATTATTGTCCAATATCAAACTCTATTTGTATCCCGAACATTTACCAGCCAATTCTTAGGTAAAATTGTCCCCTGAATCCGAAAAGACCGGCAAAAACTATAAAAGTTAAGCAGTTTTTAAGATATAGTCAATTCCATATTGTATGTAAAATTGATTATATTTTAAAAACTGTTTTACTTTTATAACTTTTGACGACATTTTCGGATTCAGCGAATAATTGACTGCTAAATGTCCTGGATACAAATTGCTGTTGACGAGAATTATTAGTGGCTGCTTTTTCGCTATAACATTTTTAACTAATTCATTTTTAGAGAGTAAGTAATATAGTGATTTCTTCATCACAAGACATCTTGCAGAATAACAGTGATTTAAATACAGTGCATGATAGAGAACATAAAAAACGAATGGCAACAAAATTAATAAATTCGAAAAATACTTTTAACATACCACCCGAAAAAATATTACATATATATATATAAATCATCCTGTTCCGGCCTAAACATTATAAATGCCTCACAAACTAGAGATACCACACTTAATGATATTTGCAACAAACTATTTCAGAAGTCAGATGAAGGAATTAGTAGTTACCTTCAGAATCCAGAAAAGGGTTGAGGAATCCGAGAAAGAAATATATTAATTATGATATAAAAATTGCATGTCCAATTACTATACAGGGTGGTCCAGGATTAATCTAAAAAATTTTAATGATCGATAGAGCCTGAAAAAACAATAAAAACAAACCCAAAAACATTTTTCAAAAATAAACACCAACACACTAATAGCCCTTCAAAGGCAAAAAATTGTTTTTTTAGATAATTTTTAAACCGATTGTGCTCAAATTTTGTAAAATTTCTTACAAAAGGCCCAGCGGCGGAGATTTTGGGAGGGTTTCCCTCCTTTACCCCCATATTTCGACGCTACTGGATTTTATTGGAAAATCATCAGATTTCTTATTCAATTTAGAAGCAAAACTTGTGTGTTAAATTTTTATAAGATCATTGGTTTCGGATATATTTGACTTTAAAATTTTAAAAACACCGAGTACCGAGTACACGGAATTTTATCATAATATTATTTTATTTTAAATCTTGGTAACACCACAGAAACAAACAGATTGTCAAACACATTTAAAAACTATTTAAATTAATTATGCCACGTTATCCACATTTGACAACTATTTAAATTAATTATGCCACGTTATCAGTTTAGCAACATTGAATATGTAGATATTCATTATGTGTATGGACTATGTGATGGAAATGCGCTAGCGGCAGTTAGGGAGTACCAAAGACGATTTCCCAACAAAAAAATACCCAACGTCCAAGTTTTTATCTACTCTCACCAGAGGTTGCGAGACTTAGGACTACGAAATAATAATGAAACAAAATGTACGTGAACCGAGGAAAAACGACGGAATAGAAATAGAATACTGAGAACTTTTTAAAACTTTCCAGGGTTGAGCTCTCGGAAAGCTGCTTTAAGACTGAATACCTCAAAGTCAAATATTCTAAGAGTTCTTCATGACGACCACCAGAAACCTTATCATTACCGCCCGGTTCAAAATCTTGGAGATGCAGAGAGAAGGATGGCATTTTGTAGGTGGGTCCTGGAATCAGCAGAAGAAGAGACCAATTTTGTTCGAAAAATGTTATGGACAGATGAAGCGACAGGATACGAGATAAATGTATTGCAGTAAGAGAAAATCCACTACAAGTTGCGCGGGCTGTCCAATCTCTTCTACGGCGCTGTCAAATGTGTTTGGATGCTGGGGGAATGCATTTTGAAAATATGTTATAATTTGTTACAAGCTACTGTTACTGTTATAATTTGTTACCAAGTTACCGATTCAAGATAAAATATGATAAAAATAAACCAGCGTCTATAGACCTAAAAATAAACCTAAAAATAACTGCACAATGACTCCTATAGGAGTCATTGTGCAGTTATTTTTAGGTTATTTTATTGTAACGTTGATTGAGGATTACAATCAACGTTTGTAATTAATAATTTAATTGTATTATAAAACAAAATCAAACTAACCCAAAAACCACCCTATTGAAAGCGATTATTCCATTATTTGATTGGTAAATTTTTATTGGCCCAATACAATCGTTAAGAAAAAAATCATCTTTTATTACTAAAATAATAACAAAAGTTCCGTGTACTCAATGTTTTTGAAATTTTAAACTGAAATATCTCCGAAACCTCTGACTTGCTTTTACATTAAAAAGGATATAATAAATATGATGATTTTCCAATAAAATCCAGTGGCGTAGAAAATATGATGGTAAAAAGGGGAAACCCTCACAAAATCTCCGCCACTGGGCATTTTGTAGGACATTTTCATTATATTATCGACGAAAGCTTAACCTACACAAAATTTGAGAAGAATCGGTTTAATGGTTTAAAAATTATTTTGAAGGACTATATCTCCGTTAGTATGCATTTTTAAAAAATGTTTTTGGGTTTGTTTTTATTGTTTTTTCAGGCTTTATCGATCAATAACATTTTTCAGATTAATCCTGGACCAATTACTATACATTTTTGCATGTTTGCATTTATAAAACTTAACAGCTTCTTGTCAATCGAAGTCATAATCATCTTACCTTAAGGATCAATGATAAACTTTCTGTCAATTTTTATTGAATTCATGGCATTCGCATGGGCAATATCAAAAAGTTTGTTTAGCTCTTCTGTAAACAAGTGCTCTCTATTTTTCTGTGCTTCAGAATCTCTTGTTTTTTTCTATAAAAACAACTAGTTCTTATGAATTTTTATAAGTTTTTCAACGCATGATTTGCTCCACACCTCTATGACTTCTTGAATGAGTATATGCGCAGAATATTTTACATTTTTTTATTTATTTAATGTTTGGTGAAAACGAAGTAGAACTTACCGAGGAGTTGGAAGTTGGTTAAGCCTTGCCAAAGGCTCAAGATCTCGAAGTAGAAAAATATCGCCTTTTTTTCGAGTGATGAACTCATCTCAATGCTGTGTAACCGTCATTTTGACAGTTACCCATTGATTTTATTTTATTAGTTTTTGTACATCTATAATGGTATAGATGTGAACTGTTAAGTGGTTTATTTTTAGTCAGACTAATTGTTAAGTATATTTTTAATAAGGATATTGGTTTAGTTGCCTCTTTCCAAAAGAATTTAATTAGTTTTATTGAGGTTTATTTTGTTTTAGTGTCTTATTTGGGCCAGTTGGTAAAGTCTAAGTAAGTCAGACACAATCTTACTAAAGATTAAGGGCGGTTATTAAAAGTCAAGTTTAAAAAAAATAAATCAAAGTTATATTTGTTTCACCGATGTTGGAGTGATCACTTTTCATTTAATATTAAACATTTGTTCCATTTATAATTTTGGTGCACCCTTATATGGCCATATATGGTTTACAAAAACGAAAGTCTAATAGACTAAATTAACAGATTTATATATATTATTGATGATAAAAAAATATATTTAAAATAACTAAAATTAAAAAGTTGAAGACTATGTCGAACTCTCGACTCAAAAGTACACAAACGTATAAGGAGTGTAGTGCACGCTATGTTCTCTAACATAAATATTCAAAGTGTGCTTCCACATAGGTTGGCTTCCGATGTTGAAGTCTCCTACTATGTCAGATTTTACAAAACAACTTCAGGGTAAAAATCCATTCCTTCACAACAAATCTGACATAAAAAGTCTTACAAAAAACTCCAACATAAAAAATCCATATTCAAGACCAGCAAACTTGTACTTAAAATTCTGTACTTAAAACATGTACTTAAAACAATGACATGAAACTGGTACTTAAAACATTGACTTAAAACTGGTACTTAAAACAGTGACTTAAAACCCTAAAAATAATAGTATGACGCCTAAGCATCTTGAAAAACCACAAAAATTAACCTTCCAAACGATGAAAATAGCTCAAAAAACTTTGCAGAATGAAACACATCGCTGACTAAAATGGAAAACCTCGTGGGTAATAGAAATAGTACACTAAAAAAAACTATTAACTCACCCTGAGTATTCATACGACACAATTAATGCTTTTTCCGGCCCTGAGCCATTAAACCAGGAGAATTACTACACATCTTTGGAATTCTATCCAAATTTTAAGCCAAAGCTTACTCCCAACCTCACCTTCAGTGTTAAAACGGAAAAGAAAGCGTAAACCTTGTTCGTATATATTGTATCGTATTGTATTGTATCTTTGAGTATGTACTGTAAGTAGTATATTGAAATTTAGCTATGAGTTACGCAAAAATTTGAATAATTTCGAGAATGATCTTGCACCAAACGAAACCGACCAACTATTTTGTGCTTTTTGTTGGATATTTCTATCAGGACTACCGGTTGCCTCCTTTTTTTTGTTATAGGACTAGTGCCTAGCTTTACTGGATTTGTCAGGATCCTTCCTCTTCAAGGAGAATTTGCTTTCCATTTAAATTTACCTTTCTGACGTTTTACTTGTTTATGGTTTAGAGGCGTAGCATGACCAGCGGTCTGCTTTGTTCCTCCTCTATATCTGTCACATTTAGATTTTACTTTTTGTGGTCTATGTTAACCCGCAAATACTAATTTTTTTTGGTTTGGATTTATTTGAGGTAATTTTGTTTGCGATCCAATTAGTTTAAATAATAAAAAAATACTTCTATTACCGTGTTTTGATAGTATGCAACCCAGAACTCTCCTCATTTGTTTTTAGTTTTCTCAGCATTGACAACATTGTGTTTTTTTTGTTTAAATAATCTTCTACGCTTTCTTTTCCGTTTTAACACTAAAAGCCGTTTGGTTGGAAGTAAGCTGGTTTAATGGCTCAGGGCCGGATAAAGCATTAATTGTGTCTTATGAATACTCAGGGTGAGTTAATAGTTTTTTTTTAGTGTACTATTTCTATTACCCACGAGGTTTTCCATTTTAGTCAGCGATGTGTTTCATTCTGCAAAGTTTTTTGAGCTATTTCCATCGTTTGGAAGGTTAATTTTTGAAGATTAAAAACCTCTGAAACCAAGGGTAAGTTTTACGTTTTGTGGTTTTTCAAGATGCTTAGACGTCATACTATTTTTTTAGGGTTTTAAGTCACTGTTTTAAGTACCAGTTTTAAGTCACTGTTTTAAGTACATGTTTTAAGTACAGATTTTTAAGTACAAGTTTGCTGGTCTTGAATACTGATTTTTATGTTGGGGTTTGGAGTTGGAGACTTTTTTTGTCAGATTTGTTGTGAAGGAATGGTTTTTTACACTAAAGTTGTTTTAGATAATGACAAGTTCTTACGTTACTGAAAAGCCATCCTGTAAAATCTGACATAGTACGAGACTTCAACATCGGAAGCCAACCTATGTGGAAGCACACTCTACCAGGGTCCCAACTGCATTCAGGTCGTACCAAATTTGAATATTTATATTAGAGAACATAGCGTGCACTACACTCCTTATACGTTTGTGTACTTTTGAGTCGAGAGTTCGACAGAGTCTTCAACTTTTTAATTGTAGTTATTTTAAATATATTTTTTTATCATCAATAATATATATAAATCTGTTAATTTAGTCTATTAGACTTTGGTTTTTCTAAACCATATATGGCCATATAAGGGTGCACCAAAATTATAAATGAAAAGTGATCACTCCAACATCGGTGAAACAAATATAACTTTGTTTTTTTTTAACTTGACTTTTAATAACCGCCCTTAATCTTTAGTAAGATTGTGTCTGACTTACTTAGACTTTACCAACTGGCCCAAATAAGACACTGGCGCCAAATTTTTATTTGCCTTTAGTGTACGTAAGTATCGAAAAACAACATTTGCCCATCGACCTATCTCTCCGCTGAAAAGCTGCCGTTCGCCATAGCCCTCGAGTTGAGGTTACAGCTGATTCACTCATAGTCTAGTAAATAGGTCCCACAGTTTTTTACGTTTGTCTATAATACTCTTTAACAGTTGTATTTAAATTAAGATTTAATTAATTTAACACTCGAAACTGACCTGTAACAAAAAATCAAGATTAAGCATTTTTCGCAAAAATTTGAAAAGCAGCACTCGATTGAGCACCCTCTTTCGCTAAATCTAGCGAAATGAAATTTTACAATGTTATTGCTATGGATACATGTTACAAATTTACAGGGTGGCCAAACTGAATAATAAAACAAAAAATTTTTGGACCACCCTAATACATACATATATATAAAATGTAAAAAATAATATAAAATTAAGAAATATAACAGTTCTTTTTCTTTGTATATATGGGGGTATTGAATATTAACATTTATAACAATAGTTATAAATGTTGAGATTTAATAACTTCAAACAGCATTTTTTTTGCTTTATTTTAGGACAAAGAAAGTAAAATTTTAACCTCAGAAAGGTCAAGTTGGGATAAACCAGTGGAATTTGTTCTATCTTGTTTGGGATATGCCGTCGGTCTTGGAAATGTATGGAGGTTTCCATATTTGTGCTACAGAAATGGAGGAGGTAAATTTATATTTATTTAAATTTGTTTTTATATAAAACAACCAGATTAATAAGTTAAAACAATGTAATCTGTTACTAAAAGGTATATATAACTTTGTAATATTTTGACACTTGTGCTAAAAATAGGTAATTTATATAAACAATTACTTATATATCACATATAACTATAGTTTGATCAAAGCAACAAAATTAAATTTGTATAGGTAACTAATATTTATTATTTTTCTTTAATTAGTTACTAATTCAAATATTTTTAAAGCATTTTAATTATTATCACCAGTTTAAGTTAAATGGGTGCAATTGCCCTCCCTGGGCCCATACATATATTTTTTTTCTATTATTTCCTTTATTTGTCAACGCGAAAACATGGATGTCGTATTGCAGTATTGTATTCTTAACTTACTTCAACAAGATTTTAATTATTTAAACCCTTTTGAAATCGCCGCCATTCACAGGTCGATTACAATTTTATAATTATATCTTTATTACTTCTTTTAAATGAATTTCGGCCACATTAGTGCCATAAAAAATATTATTTATCATTAACCCTTTGGGGCGGGCACAAAAATCTAAAACTATTTTTAAATCTTAAGCGTTTAGACTTCCCAGTAGGTATTTGAAACAATTTTCAAATTCTGTGTGTAGAGCAGTGCAAAACCGTCATTTATATATTAAAAAAAGACATTTAAATGATTATAAGTAACAAATTAAAAATTTGAACAAACTTTTGGCAAATAATTTTTTAAGGCTATCCATTTTTATTAAAAAAATCAGAGGTTTAGATGCTAAAGCACCTACACCAGTTCTAACCCCATTACACAATTTTATAGGCCTATGGTACCCACCTACTCATTAAAAATACATTTTCAAAATTTATACCTTGGGAAACTTACAACTTTGTTCCAGCATAAAAAACATTTAATTAGGTATTGTTATTTTTTAATAAAAAATACTGCTTAGTAAAATAAAAAATATTAAAATATGCAAAATAAGCGCACATGCGCAGAAAGCAAAAAGCCTTCTTCTCTGCGACTCGACACGCTATACCTCGATGTAATTATGATCTGTGATAAAAATGTTAAAAAAAAAATATACGTATAAACTTCGGTATTACCTATAGGTATTATTTTAACCGAATTAAAATATAAAGTCATGTAAATAAAGTAAAACAATTATAATTGGATAAGATATCGTTAAAAGAAATAATAAGCTCTTTTTAGCTTTATTAGCTTTACGTATATGGAAACCGGCTACCATAAATCAATTTAGACAATGATTTACGGTCAAAACTAAACCTGCAATGGTAAAGCCATCTGACCAATCATGTCATTTAATAAGTGCCATTAATAACTTCGTATATGTGTCCGATAAAGTCCATTAATATACTAGTAATAAATATACGCTGGGTGCAGTTGTCTTAATTGACAACAAAAATTAAATTTATTAATGAATCTGCCAACTCCAACTTTATATTGTAACAAAAGTTTGTAGCACCAGATTTAAGACAATATATTTCAATTTCAAATGCAACATTTTGTAGTCTTTAGAGGATACGAAGGGTTGTATTTCAAATAAAATATATCGCCACCCTGACATCGCTTTGCTCTTTTAGAACTTTGTTAGTTTAACTATACATAATTTTATTTAGTACTGTCTGGCGTTTTGTTTAAAAACTTTTTATCAGTATTTATTTTATTTTTGTAATTTTATTAAAGGGGGCCAAACAAAAACCTCAACGATTTAGTTCATTTAATAGTCCACTTAATGAAGTAAAAACCTGTATGTATGTACCTAAACAATTTTATTTATTTTATTTTAATTAAGGAATATAAGGGGTGTTCCAATAATAGGTTTTTTAATATTATATAATAATATAATATAATATAATATAATAGGTATAGGTAATTATGAATAATTATAATAATAATTATTACATGATTAAATAATTCTTGAAATGTTTTACATTTTTAAGTAAAAAAATATTTTGGAAGGTTACAAACAAATTTTAAAATCTTAAAATTATATTTAAGAATGTTGAATCACGATTTAAGATGCACACGATGATACAAAATGTTAAGAATTTCAAAAGGCGAAGTCATAAAAAATGATTTTTATGATTTTATCTATTATTTTATCTATTATTTTAGATAGATAGAACAACAGTTGCTTTTGAGCATTTCAGTCACGGGCTCAAGTTATCTTTATTATAAATTGCGAAAAAGTGAAGTTAAATGTCAAATATGTATGAATTAAAATTGGCTTTACATTCTTATTTCTGTTCGTCGTAGATAAAGTATTGTATGTCACTCGTTTTGTAAACTTCTCTAGACACTCATTTTTATTAAGCGAGCGAGTGGCAAGCTTCGCTCGTGCCTAATAAAACTCGTAACTAAAATGTTATTTAGTTTCTTAAAACGTTGGAGAACGCAAGATAAATATCTTTGCTGTTTATACAGGTTAATGTAAAAACAAAAGCTTAAATGAAAAATATTTATTTATAAAAAGTGTTATTTTTGTTGAGATCTGTACCTCTTTTACGTTGTCCATTTTCATTTTAATGTATAATAGGAGTATTGTTATTATGTAAATTTCAAGTATGTTTGCAAATATATGGAACAAGAAAAAATAAAATGCTTATATTTGTACTATTATTTATTTATTAAACACTTAAAATGTTGGATCTTGGAAGAAAAGTAACTAGGTATGTTTTATTCTTATTTATGTGGACCCAGGTTACATCTTATTAACTGCATATATATATATTCTAACTACTGACTAATTATTTATTATAATGGTCGGAGGAACTGTCAAATATACAATATATATATATATATATATATATATATATATATATATATATATATATATATATATATATATATATATATATATATATATACATCCCTAATACAATATTGCGTCATTACAATTCGCGACCTTATTGCGTCTACTAGAAATACGGTATTTAGCGAAAATATAGAAGAGTATATTGGCGTACTTTTTTTTGGTGATTCCAAAAATCTGGTCAGATTTTTTTTATCTTAAAAAATAAGATATATACTTTTTTTTCAAAAGTCACTACATTATCAACTCATTTTAATCTTGATATAATATTGCGTCACGTGTATATTTCATTTTAAATTTTATATGGCTTGTACAGACTTTATTGCGTCCTACAGTGTTGCCAAATTGTAATGACGCAATATTGTACTAAGGATGTATATTTATGTATATGTATATATATATATATATCCGTAATACAATATTGCGTCATTACATTTCGCGACCTTATTGCGTCTCCTAGAAATACGGTATTTAGCGAGTCAACTTTAATAAGATATAAATGAATTTTTAACATGTGATTTTTCTTCTATGTAATTTTTAATATTGATATTTTGCATGTTTATAAAATAATGTCTGTATTAGAAATGTGAGGTTTAAAAAGTTTTAATTAATTTTATATTAAATTTTAAATATCCCTATTATTTTTTAAACCTTCAAGGTTTTAGTTTCTATTTTTTTCTTGCTATACATTTTAACATAAATAATTACCATTAATATTATAGTAATTCTTTTTGAAGGGTATATTTTTTAAGGCTATATTTGTTCGTATTCTTAATGAAAAATAGCATACTTACTTTACTAAGAGAAATAGTAAAGAAAAGTATACGTTTTCTGGTTAGCAAAACTTTTTTACCCAGCAACACTTTTATTAAGCACATTTGAAAAATCGTAAAAAAAAGTATTATATTAATCAATGCTTTTTCATGACTCTAGCAGCATAAATTCGACTTTTGCTTAACATAAGTTCTTTAATAATTAATATTATTAATTAAGCCAATTATTGTCTTTAGTTTGGTATATTTTTGTTTATGAATTAACTTAAATATTAACAATTTTTCTCTCTGAAAGGGCAGCGAAAGTCGAATTTTTATTTTGTCATAAAAAATAGTGTACATATTTCGTGGCGAAAGGCGGCCATTTCTAAATAGTGTGTTCTACATTCGCCTCGCTGGTGCAGCAAAGCTCACGATTGGTCATAGAAAACCGCATAATAGTTTTCTAAGTGTAACTCGAGTCCGGCAAATTTCGATACATTTTCTGATTTATACGACAAGATCTCATCTGAAAACTCCTCCAAATCATCGGAGTCGTCGAGTTCCATCACGATAGAGTCGGAGGAGGATACAGTGCTTGTGCTACTAGCAGCTAGTAACTAGCTTGATCCATGCATAGCTTCTGTTTATAGTCAAGGTCGACTTGGAATTTTTGCAAGGTGTTTTCCTTGTACTGCCTATAAATCATTTTAATCGGCCAGTACTTACTCTACCGTCGGACTGCAGTCCATGATCTAAAAGCCAGCAGTACGATGATTTTTTAATAACTGAATATATAATATTATATAGGTACGGTGATTTTTCCGATTCACTGTGCACTTTTTTAGAAAAGTCTTTTAAACTTATAAAACTCGTTTCCAAAGTATCACATTCGCTATCTTCATTAGAAATCTCGTTCGAAATTAAGTCCATAACTTCATCCATAACTTTATCGTCCTCATTACTAATATTTGTTTTTGCCAATTTTCTTCGGGGTTTTCGACAATTTTAGCGTTCTCATTACTAATATTTGTTTTTGCCAATTTTCTTCGGGGTTTTCGACAATTTTAGCGTTGTCTTCGTCGGCGTCTTCATTATCCTGTGTAATTGCAATATTTTGTTTCCGTCTTATTAACGGTTAACGGTACCTACCTGCATATATTTCCAATCGTTTTCTTTTTCATTAATTCCAAGATGTTTCATGTCCTCTATGACATTTTGTAGAGCTTTTTTAACTGTAGATTTGATATCCAAATTTAAAATTTCTTCTTCACGTGGTAAATTTTCTTTTATTAGTCTGGTTTTTAATCTTTTGTCTTCCCTTGGAAATGTAAAAGTCCCCCTCAGATTGTTTATGGTATCAGTTGTCTTAACCCGTAACCGGTACTGTGGTGTCTGGGAGAC